GAGGAGGAGGAGGAGGAGGAGGAAGAGGAGGAGGCGAAGGAGGAAGAAAAATAGGAGGAAGAGAGGGCAGTGCAGAGGGCGAGAGGAGAGGATGTCCGCCAGGGGGAGGAGGAAAGGGCAAGAGGTAAGCTAAACAATTTGTCATGCGGGGTCCTACCGTCGGAGTAAATTACCATTTTTGAACATTCCCCCTGTAGAGGGACTTGCCCGACTCAAAACTGGGCGGGGGGGACGCATGCGAACTGCGCCGCTGGGACTTTCGGTGGTGCTCTTTCTGGGGCCACAAAACGCTGCACTGGGCGGGGGGGACGCATGCGAACTGCACCACTGGGACCTTCGGTGGAGCTCCCTCTGGGGCAGAAGAGGGAAGAGGGGGAGGAGGAGGGGAGGGAGGGAGGAGAAGAGGAGAGGTGGGACGCGGGGCGTTCTCTCTACAAAACGAAGACCCAACACCACAGGATGGTTGGAAAAGATCTGCCAAAAATGCGTATAATGTTCGTAGATATGCGAGCGTTCTGCGCATGTTCCTAGCTTCGACGAGGAAATCGATTTCGGGGAAAATCAATGTTGCAGTCGACCCCCTGCTCGGAAGCCACGATCCTCGACACAAAAACCTCCAAACCTTTTCCTCCTCCCATTGACGGCCACCTCGCCGAAGCCGCTCCACGCCAGGAACTTGTCCCCCAGGAAAGGGGCGGGCCCGTCCCCGCCGGCGCCTCGCGGGCGGCGCCGCCGACGCCGACGATGCCGCCGTCGCCGCCGTCGCCGCGGTCGCCGCCGTCGCTGTCGCCATCGCCGCCGCCGTCGCCGTCGCCGTCACCGCCGCCGTCGCCGCCGCCACCGTCGACGCCGCCGCCGCCACCGCGGCCGCCGTTGCCGTCCGCTGTACAGTTTCATCGATGCCCGTTCCCACCGGCGTGGCCTTGGCCCCACTGGCCAACTTGCCCACCCAGGGGGGCATGCGCCTGCTCCCCTGGGCCTCGCGGACATACCACCGCCCGGAAGGGTGGGCCCGTGGGGTTGCGGACACCGTGGCCCACCGGGGATGGGGATAGGCCAGCGGCTTCTTGCACCATGGATCTCAGCATTTGGCCGAGGGGGGGAAAGGGGGGGGGTCTGGGCATGGGCTGGTGATTTGCCGATCTGCCTCTACCAGTGGCGTAAGCACACTGGGGTGGGGGTCCTGACCAGTCGCCAAGAGCAGCCGCCAAGAGCAGCCAAGATCTGGTCTATCGGGGGCGAGGGGGAGGGCGCGCCGATCGGCGAGACAGTGGATACAAAACGGCAAGGTGGGGAGGAAGTATTTAGGAGCGCGACCACGAGAAGCTTTCCACGAGAAACCCCACCCTGAAACCCCAGGGCGTCCATGAACTTTCGGTGTGGGAACGTCGCGCTCCTTCCGTGGCAAAACCACCGAAACCCGAGAAGCCCAGGGCACCCTGAAGACCCTACGAGTCCGCCGTGACGCGGTGGAGGGCTCGGCCCAGCGCCAACGACACGGTGTGGAGACAACATCGTCGTCGTTTTGAGATTAATATGTCTTGGGTCATGGGCGGGTGGGACACGTCCAACAGGCAGCAGCGCGCTGCTCCCCGGCACGGGCTCCCACCGCGGGCCCGACGGCGCTGCTCGGCCGCCCAACCGGCTCCCGGGCCCCCGACGTCATGATTTGTCTTCCCTTACGCCGACCCCGGGAGGCCTCGACCCCTTCCCCTGCGCTGGCTTCTCCTCCTGAGTCGTTTTGTTGACGGTCTCGGGGGCCGGCAAGGGCCCCCAGAGGCCGAAAATTCGGCGGTGGACAAACCTCCCTTTGATAAACATCCTGTTAGTGAGAACGGCCCGGGACCGGAACCGACGGACCCAGACCCGCATAAAGTACGGCCGCGACGCCCCTTCGCGAACCGAAGACGTCCAATTCTTTATAATCGACGCGTCAGGGTAGGAGGTCTATCCACCTCCGACGGCACGGGCCCCCAGAGGCCGAAAATCGCCAATAACCTCCCGTCATGTTTTTCTCATCACCCGAAGGCGTCTGGGCTCCTCGGGCGCCCGTCGCCACGCCGGCGCTCGGGAGCCCGCCCTCTCGGGGCCGGCCCCCGGCGCGAGGCCGGGCCCCGCGGCGCGCTGCCCAAAGCGAGGCACGGGCCCGGGGCTAGAGCCCCAGGATCGACGGGAGGGCGGGGGAAGGAGGAGGAAGAGGAGGAGGAGGAGGAGGAGGAGGAGGAGGAGGAGGAGGAGGAGGAGGAGGAGGAGGAGGGGGACGGGGAGGAGGAGAGGGGGAGGGGGAAGAGGAGGAGGCGGAGGCGGAGGAGGAGGGGGAGGAGGTGGAGGAGGAGGAGGAGGAGGAGGAGGTAGGAGAGGAGGAGGAGAGGAGGCGGAGGAGGCGGAGGAGGAGGAGAGGAGGGGGTGGGGAGGAGGAGGAGGAGGAGGAGGAGGAGGAGGAGGAGGGAGGAGGAGGACAAGGGGGAGGAGGAAGAGGAGGGAGGAGGAGGAGGAGGAGGGGGAGGAGGAGGAGGTGGGAGGAGGAGGAGGGGAGGAGGAGGAGGAGGAGGAGGAGAGAGGAGGAGGAGGAGGAGGAGGAGCGCAGCGCCTCAGGAAGGTCTCCCGCCGCGCACGCGGGCACGCGACAGACTACCCCCTGGCGCCGCCTACTCACGGCACGGTGCCGCAAGAGCAGGAGGCAAAGTAGAAGGAGAGCAACTGGAAGAAGTCGCCCTCAAGGCCGTGGACGCAGGCCAACTTGCCGCCGACGAAGGAGGCGTCGCCACCGAAGAAGACGCCGTGCCACCAGCCGACCACGGAAAAGGCAGCGAATCACGACATGGTCGATCATCGCGTCACGTGGCTGCAAGAGGAGCCCCCTGCGGGAGCGGCGCCGCCCACCATCATCATCATCATCATCATCATCCTCATCAGTATCAGCATCAGCATCATCATCATCATCATCATCATCATCATCATCATCATCATCATCATCATCATCATCATCATCATCAGCAGCAGCATCATCATCATCATCATCATCATCATCATCATCATCACATCATAATCATCATCATCATCAATCATCTCATCATCATTCATCATCATCATCATACTCATCATCACATCATCATCCGCAGCAGCAGCAGCAGCAGCAGCAGCAGCAGCAGCATCATCATCCATCATCATCATCATCTAAATCATCATCATCATCATCGATCATCATGCATCATCATCATCATCATCATCATCATCGACCTCGTCATCATCATCATCAGCAGCAGCACAGGCATCATCATCATCATCATCATCAGCATCATCATCAGGCATAATCATCCTATCCTCATCCCCATCCTCGCCATCATCATCAGCAGCATCGAATCGCTCATCTATCATCGTCATCCGTCATCACCATCATCGCATCATCCTCATCAGCAACCATCATCAGCATCAGCATCATCCTCATCCTCATCCCACACTCGCCATCATCATCAGCAGCATTCATCAGCATCATCATCACCATCATCATCATCACCACACCACCATCATTCATCATCATTCATGATCATCATCATCCAATATCCCCCTCCCCTCCTCCCTCTCCTCTCCTCCTCCTCCTCCTCCTCCTCCTCCTGCTCTGCCTCCTGCCCTCCTTTCTCTTCCTCCTCATCCTCTAGTCCTACGCCCCTGCTCCTCCTCCTCCGCCTCTTCCTCCTCTCAACTCCTCATCCGACTCCTCATAATCCGCCTCCTCATCATCATCCTCCTCCTCACATACATCCGTTCTGTCTCTGCCTCCTATTACGCACTAGCCTCGACGCCTGATCCGACTGCATCATCATCCTCCTCCTCCCTCATCTCCACTCTCCTCCCCCTCCCCCTCCTACTCCTCCTCCACCTCCTCTCCTTCCTCCTCCCGTTCAACCTACCTCCTCCTCCTCCTCCTCCTCCTCCTCCTCCTCCTCCTCCTCCTCCTACCTCAATCCTCCTACTCGTCCTTTTCATCCCGCTCTCCCTCCCCCCACCCGGGCATACCACGGCAACGCGCCGAGAAAATCTGCGCGCGACATATAGAGAAGATACCCTGCTGATCCAGAGGGGGGGGGGCCTTGACCGTGATAGACGTCCGGCCTCGCGGGGGAAGGCGGGGGTTGCGCTGGAGGAGGTGGGAAGCAGACAGGGTCAGAGGGCAGGAGTGGGTGGACAAAAAGGAGGATGAGGAGGAGCAGCAGCAGCAGGAGGATAGTAATAGAATCTATGACAAGACCAGAGTTTTCAAAATTATCCTGGCGAAGGACCCAACCATATGCAATTGTGAGTACCGCAGTTGTGAATATCTTCTTCGGTGGAGCCCCCTACGGGGCCAAGAAACGCACGAGGGGGGTGCCGACATGGGTGTGCGGGACGCATGCGGGCACACCCACTGGGGCCTTCGGCGGAGCTCCCTATGGGACCACAAAACGTCCGAGGGGTCACGAAACGCGTGAGGGGTGTGCCGAAATGAGTGTGCGGGACGCATGCGGGCACACCCACTGGGGCCTTCGGCGGAGCTCCCTTTGGGGCCACGAAACGTGTGAAGAGCATGCCGAAATGGGTGTGCGGGACGCATGCGGGCGGCAGCACTGGGACCTTCGGTGGAGCCCCTCTACGGGGCCACGAAACGTGCGAGGGGTGTGCCGAAATGGGTGTGCGGGACGCATGTGGGCACACCCATTGGGGCCTTCGGTGGAGCTCCCTATGGGACCACGGAACGTGTGAGGGGTCACGAAACGCGTGAGGGGTGTGCCGAAATGGATGTGCGGGACGCATGCGGGCACACCCACTGGGGCCTTCGGTGGAGCTCCCTATGGGGTCACGAAACGTGTGAAGGGTATGCCAAAATGAGTGTGCGGGACGCATTCCCTATGGGGCCACGAAGCGCGTGAGGGGTGTGCCGAAATGTGTGTGCGGGACGCATGCGGGCGGCAGCACCCTGGGGCCTTCGGTGGAGCTCCCCATGGGGCCACGAAACGTGTGAGGGGTGTGCCGAAATGAATGTGCGGGACGCATGCGGGCGGCAGCACTGGGGCCTTCGGCGGAGCTCCCTGTGGGGCCACGAAACGTGTGAGGGTGTGCCGAATTGGGTGTGCGTGACGCATGCGGGCGGCAGCACTGGGGCCTTTGGCGGAGCTCCCTATGGGGCCACGAAACGTGTGAGGGGTGTGCCCAATTGGGGTGTGCGTGACGCACGCGGGCGGCAACACTGGGGCCTTCGGTAGAGTTCCCTATGACGCCACGAAACGTGTGTGGGGTGTGCCGAAATCGGTGTGCGGGACGCATGCGGGCGGCAGCACTGGAGCCTTCGGCGGAGCTCCCTTTGGGGCCACGAAACGTTTAAGGGGTGTGCCGAAATCGGTGTGCGGGACGCATGCGGGCGGCAGCACGGAGGCCTTCGGCGGAGCTCCCTATGGGGCCACGAAACGTGTGAGGGGTGTGCCGAATTGTGTGTGCGTGACGCATGCGGGCGGCAGCACTGGGGCCTTCGGCGGAGCTCACTGTGGGGCCACGAAACGTGTGAGGGGTGTGCCGGATTGGGTGTGCGTGACGCATGCGGGCGGCAGTACTGGAGCCTTCGGCGGAGCTTCCTATGGGGCCACGAAACGTGTGAGGGGTGTGCCGAATTGGGTGTGCGTGACGCATGAGGGCGGCAGCACTGGGGCCTTCGGCGGAGCTCCCTATGCGGTCACGAAACGTGTGAGGGGTGTGCCGAATTGGATGTGGGTGACGCATGCGGGCGGCAGGCACTGGGGCCTTCGGATGAGTCCCCTAGGGGCCACCCCCCGAAACGTGTGTGGGGTTGCCGAAATGGGTGTGGGGTGACGCATTGCGGGCGGCAGCACTGGGGCCTTCGGCGGAGCTCATATGGGGCCATGAAAACGTGTGGAGGGGGGTGACGAATGGGTGGGACGCGCATGCGGGCGGCAGCACTGGGGCCCTTCGGCGGAGCTTTCCTTGTTGGCCACGAACGGTGAGGGGTGTGCCAAATTGGGTGGGGGTGACGCCATGCGGCATGCGGGCGGCAGCACTGTGGCCTTCGGCGGAGCTCCTAGGGGGCCACGAAACGTGTGAGGGGTGTGCCAAATTGGGTGTGGGTGACGCATGCGGGCGGCAGCACTGGGGCCTTCGGCTGAGCTCCAATGGGGCCACGAAACGTGTCAGGGGTGTGCCGAATTGGGTGTGGGTGACGCATGCGGGCGGCAGCACTGTGGCCTTCGGCGGAGCTCCTATGGGGCCACGGAACGTGTGAGGGGTGTGCCGAATTGGGTGTGGGTGACGCATGCGGGCGGCAGCACTGGGGCCTTCGGCGGAGCTCCTATGGGGCTACGAAACGCTGTACTGGGTGAGTGAAACGCAGGGAAGAGGGGGAGGAGGGAGGAGGAGGAGGAGGAGGAGGAGGAGGAGGAGGAGGAGGAGGAGGAGGAGGAGGAGGAGGAGGAGGAGAGGAGGAGGAGGAGGAGGAGGAGGAGACGCGGGCCACCGTCTCTTCAAAACGAGGACCCAACACCACAGGATGGTCGGGAAAAAAGAAAGCAGAAGGAAGAGAAGAAGCCAAAAACAGGGCCTCCGCGATGAGTGAAAAGACTGAAAAAAAACTAGAATAGAGCAGAGAGTACGTACGAATAGGGAACTAATTAAGGAAATTGAAGGGAACGGGAAAGAAGCGAAGGGGGACGATCAGGGAAGGAGTCTTCCTCCTGGTCCTGCATCCCCCTCCTCAGAGCTCCACCCCCGCCCTTTTCCTGGGGTGCGTTCTGGCCGAATCTTCGAGGGGGATCCATCTGTGGCAACGAAGAGGCAGCTGCTAGATGCCCCGATATTGAGCAGAGACCGAGTGTCCCAGCATTCCTCTTGGCCTACCACGAAATATTCGTGGAACCCGAAAATGTTCGACTAAACACAAATAAGTTGCTTAGAACATAAGCCCGATGTGCTAAAACAAAACAGCCTCAGCCAGAAATGTTCTGACAACATTTCGTGCAGACCAGGAGAGGTTCTTAGAACATTATTTGGTGGGCCTATCTGCAACATTCACGCTTCGCCACTGTTTGACAACAGGCCCAGAAGCAGCCCAAAAAAAACCTTCGAGCATCGATCCCTCCGCCCCGTCCAGCTGGCGCCGCCGCGGTCCTCGACCCTTGAGCCTCAAGCCTGGAGTCTCGAGCCTCGAGCCTCGATCCTCGAAGTCCCGGGAACCTCGAGCCTCGAGACGTCGATCCTCGAAACATCGATCCACGAGCCTTGTGGTTAGATGCTGGTTCCTAGGGGCCTTCCTGGAGCCACCTGCTCCATTCGTGCGTCGAAGTTGCGTCAAACGTCCGCCGACTCGAGTAGCACCTGAGTCGAACCTGCGTCGAACTTGAGTCGAACCTGCGTCAAAACTGCGTCGAACTTGAGTCGAACCTGAGTCGAACCTGAGTCGAACAGATCCTTAAGTGGGTCCCAGGAAGGTCCCCAAAACGAGCATCGAATTGTGGGGCGTCCAAGAGGTGACCGCTAATTTCCTTCCCGGATAAAATTTTTACCAGGGGGGGTCGGACGGAATGGTAACGGTAACAGCGGCCGCGGCGTCCACCCGCCAGGGTGCGGCCGCGCCACCGGCGCATCATTCGCCTGTGTGAACCACAACCCCTGTGTACACGACAATGCCCAACGCCTGCGTGCAGCACAGCGCCGTCTGTGTACACCAACGCCTCCGTACACAACAACAGCCGCGCGCACCGCAGCACCACGTCGCCCATATGTACACCGCAATGGCTGCGTGTACTGCAGCCGCCGTGTGCGCAAAAGCGCCTGCGTACACCACATTGCCTGCGTGCACCAGGGCGCTTGTGTACGGCAGGTTCGTGTCGTGTCGACCCAGGCGTTGGTTCCTGACACCGCGGGGATCGTTCAACCTGGAACGATCGGCCATTTCCGCAACGTCCAATCGTTCAACATCGACCGATTCTGGGCCGCCGCCGGCGTTCAACGTTGAACGCCGGCGGCGGGGTCGCCGCCGGTCGACACGACACGACCCTACCGTACACACCACAGCGCCTGCACTATGAATACCTGCGGGGGGGGGGTCCACCCCCCAGCATATATGAAGGCCTTCTAGATAGGGTTCGAGCAGATGGGGTCGGAAGGTCGCACCGCATTGCCAATACATCGGCGATGCATCGGCGATGCATCGGTGATGCACTGGCGGTGCGTCGTCGAGGTCGGCGATGCATCGGCGACGTCGGCGTGAAGCAAATCGGTCTCCACATCGAGGCGCATCGGCGATGCATCGGCGATGCGGCGCGATCCTCCGACCACATCTACCCCGACCCCATTTAGGAGGCCTAGAATGTAAGGGGGGGGGTCCAGGCCACCCACCCCCCAGTAAGGTCGTTACCGTTACCAGGGGGGGCGTTTGGCCAGGGCTAGCGAGCTTCAATTGGTGGGGGGGGGAAACGTAAAAAAAAAAAGAAATGTTGGTGTAAGAGAGGGGGGGGTGCATGAAGTCCGGCGAAATATCCTGGCCCTGGCCATGATATCCACCCCCCTGGTCATCACCCCCCCTGGACGCCCCCGAGACCTCGCGCCCCGTTGCGGGCTGATTTGTTCCACACTCGGGCACGCTGACTTGCACCGCCATTCCTGGCATTCCCCCCCGTCCCCATCCGCCGCCTGTTCAAGCAGCGCTGGGCCGAAGAGTCGGGGATGGACAGACCCCCCTTTAGCAAAACGTGGTTTAGTGAAAACGACCTGAGGCCCAAACCTGGCGGGCGCGAGCCTGGAAAATAACGGCCACGGCGCCCTCTCGAGAACCGAAAACGGACAATTCACTAATCGACGTGTCACTGTTGGGGGTTCTGTCCACCTCCGACGAAGAGGCGGGCAAGCAAGTCCCGACTTGCGCGAAGGCCAAATTATTCCTCTCGGACCTCGCGACGCCTCCCCCTCCCATGCCAGCCAGACGCTCCCGCCCGCCGAGCGCGGCCCGCGGCGCCCAGCGCCCGCTTCCAGCTTCTCCGGGAAACTGTTCCACGGCACGCCTCTGCATTTCCCTGAAGAAAGCAACACGCCGGATCATGCTTCCTTAGGAGGGCACCAACTATACACCAACACCGATCCTGGCCAGGATCACCCTGGGCCCAGGATCGGTGTATACGCCCTCCTGCCTTGCGCAAGAAGGCATATACACCGATCCTGGTCCCAGGGTGATCCTGGGCCAGGATCGGTGTTGGTGTATAGTTGGTGCCCTCCGAGGAATTCCTGGATGTGCTCCGCCCCTTTCCCGTGAGATCTCATCGGCAACGTTTCTGAACAGGCTGGCAGAGATACGCGTAGCATAAAGGATACAACCGCTGTGCTACCAGGAGAGAGGCTGAGTAAAGAACGAAGGGGTTTTCTGGGCACGGCGAGCATCGGCCTCGTATAGGCTCCCCGACCTAGACTTGTGGAGACGCCCGAAAACCAAAACCCCTCCTGAGCCCAAAGCGGTCCTCACCTCCACGTCTAGACTGCAAACGCGCCGGAATCTACAGAAACAACGCCTCCGAACTCCCGCACGCGGAGCGCCGCCGCGGCGCCTCAGCGCCCCGACGACAGACGACAACCAGGTCGCGACGGCGACAATAGAACCGCAAAAGTAAGAACCCCTGAGTACAAGCACCCATCGGTCGGAAGAAGTAGGTAGAAACATGAAGTAGGAAGGCGTTGGAAATAGATTGGGTTTCCGCCCTCCTCCTGAGGAGGAGGGAAGAGGGAAAACCACTCGACTCTTGAAGTAGGAAGGCGCTGAAAGTAGATTGGAATCTGGGAATCCAAAAATACCTACTTTCAACGACCGATGGGCACTGCTTGGGGAAGAACGCCGCCGACCTCCCGCCCTCGGAGCGCCGTCGCGGTGCCTCAACGCCCGCTTCCATTTTGCTTCTGCGTCACGCAAAACACCACGGCGACACAGCCACGTCCCGAATCGGAAAGTCGCCAGGCAAAGCGGGGACACCGCGCAAACCGACCTGCAGTAGGAAAACTCGTGCTATGAATAGTGGCCTGAACAAGTCGACAACGCAGTTGCGACAGGAGAGGGGGGGAGGAGGAGGAGGAGGAGGAGGAGGAGGAGGAGGAGGAGGAGGAGGAGGAGGAGGAGGAAGAGGACGAGGAGGAGAAGAAGGAGGAGGAGGAGGAGGAGGATTTTTACACCGAGCGCTCAAACGATCCCAGGGGGGAGAAGAGGGGGAGTGGGCGGGCCGCGCCTTGACCTTGGCGCTGAAGGCTTTGGCACGCACGCTCGCTCCTGAGATGAAGCCCTACTCCAGCCTTCTCAGATCCTCGACTCCCTTCTTCGAAAGGGGGCCGATAGGGCTGGGCGAGAAAAAAGATCGATCGGTCCATACCCAGGGCCCCGCACGTCGTGCACGCCCCGCAGGTCGGCATGATCGAGAAACCGTGCGACACGCGAGGAATATGGACGATCTGCTTCCCAAGCTGGAGCGGAGCAAGGCGGGAAGAAGAGGCAGCAGCTCAAGGGCAGCCTCTGCGGTCTCGAAGACATCTTGCATGTCTTGACATTCTGGGTCGTCTGCGTTACACGGGCACTGCCAGATTCGATGGCGAAGAATGTCTGGTGCTCGACCGCATCAAAGGACAGGTGGGATCGAAGTCTCCCACAACAAACTTCTGCAGTGCGAAGACGTGGCCATGCAGCTGCTGCGCACTCGATGGCGCGCCGTCGTTCATTCTCCTGGGCTGCATCAATTCTAACTGACTACCTTTGCAAACTAAACATATCGACACCCGCCCCAATACCTCCCCCCAGGTGCCGGTGGACGCCCCTGCCCACAGCTTCCTCTCCACGGAGGCGCGGGTGGCGGCCGGCGCATCGGAGGGGCCGAAAGAATCGAGGTAGGCAGGGATGTCGGAGAGGCCTTGGACGGGGGACCCCCAGCATCCTTCGAATGGGTCGCGCCACTCGAGGAGCCCGGGGGTGCCCCATCCAAGATGAAGCAGAGAGGCGATGATCACAGAAATAAAGCCTCGGATATGGAACCACCTGCGGTTGGCTGGGATGGCGATGATGCGGCGATAACTTCTCCCCCGAGCAGCTCGGAGACGCCCGAGCCAGGTCCCGTCGCGTCTCACATAACGGAACCACTCCACCAGCATGTCTAAAGCCGCAACCACAGCAGGGTCTCTGGATCCAAACCAGAGAACTGAAACAATCGTGAGACAACCACCTTGTTTTTGCCCGCAAGCCACACGGCCTGCGGGCTGGCGCAGCCTCTGGAGCCCGCCTGGTCAAACACCGAAAGGTTTTGATTCACGCATGGCCTGGAGGGCGGCTCCTGTGTTTAAAATTACGCATGGTACGCTGCTTGGGGGAACGCAAAGCGGCAACGCGACTGCCTCGACGCACCCGTTGCGCCATCGCTGAAGGCATCGGGTGCGACGGCGACGCACATCATGGCCTCGGTCAATCCCGAGGTCGGGCGAGCTGCCTGCCACGTGCACTGCGATGCCCAGCTGATCTAGCCGAGCGCGCACATCATTGGATATGGCCAGTGACGATGCGACGATGCAGGATTTTACCGGGCTATGTCAACCTGCGCTCGACAAGCCCTGCTTTGAAATCTCGCACAAAACCGACCGTCTGAGCGGTGACCGAATCGACCCGTCGGCTCTGCGATTCACGCCATCGACCCACGCTCGCGCCTCGAGCCCAGGTTGAAACAGATTGTTAACCTCAGTCGTAGGATCCATCAGCACACGCGCTGCAAGGCGCTGGGCAGACCTGCATCCCGCGAGCAGAGCCCGCCATGGAAGGATGCCATCCGAGCAGGAGCGCAAGTTCCCCAGGCACCTCGAGGCAAGGTGTAGCTGAATGTAAAGGGCGAGCCCGACACAGGGATAACTCTGCCGCATGCCTAAGTCTCATGCGGGCACGGGATTAGGAGCAGACTTGGCCACCTGCTCCTTCATCTATGCGACTACGGCCTGGTCAATACGCTTGGAGAGCACCTGGAAAGCGTCGTTCACAACGATGTCCTCAGTGTTCACGTCTATCCGCTCGGAGTCGCCTTCGGCTTTCTTGTTCTTAATATGATTATATTTGTGTTTTTCTGTCATTGGTCCGTAGCCGCTCCCCACCACGTGTCTGGCAACGGTGGCGGTGGGACCGACGGCCTGGACGGCATAACGGAGCCGAACGGCGTGCACATGGGGTTAGCAAACAGGCTCTTCTGGATGAATGGGAGCGGCGGCGGCGTCCACTTGAGGAGGCGGCGGCACGGCTGCGCTGGGCATGAGCTGAATTGTCAGCGTCATCGCCCTCTGCCACTGTGGCACCCGATGGGGCGTCGTCGGGGGCTTGAGCGCGCAGTCACACTGGTAGCACGTCTCTCTCGAGCGCCAGCTCCACTTGTAGCTGCACTGCCGACATTGCACGTACTGCTAAGTTGTCAAACTGATAGGGTTGCGAACCACTGGCCGAATGTCTCTGGCTCGATTAAAACAGCACGCCCCAACTGCTCGAGCCTGCCATACAGCTGCGGGCAAGCTCGAATCCTCGCGGCATGGTTTCGATCTTGAGCCAAAATGGCCAGGAGGAAGAGGAGGAGGGGGGGAGGAGAGGAGGAGAGGAGGAGGAGGAGGAGGAGAGGAGGAGAGGAGGAGGAGGAGGAGGAGGAGGAGGAGGAGGAGGAGGAGTGGGCCTCAGCGTCCGCTTCCACTTCCGGAACGTGCACATCCTCGGCTTCTCGCACGTCTGCCCCCGGGCGCACCGGCGGCGGGGGCGGGGAGGTCCCGGGCGCCGCCGCGCGCGCGCGGGCAGAGATCCCGAGCCGAGCCATTTGGGGACTCTCAAGGTCGACATCGAGCATCGTTTAACCGACCCTGAATCGGCTCGGCGCTTCGCGCCACGACGGGTGCGGCGCTGGACTGGGGCACGCGCAGCTGCGCCCGAAGCCCGCGAAGAGCTCGGGCGCCAGTCTGCGCCACCCGTCGCCCAGCGCGAGCAGCCCCCAGCCGAACGGCCTCAAGTGAGCATCGTTCGACCGATCCCTATCCCCACGGGCGTTGCCTGGGCCCCACTGGCCGAGTTATCCCCCCCAGCCGAAAGGCCTCAAGTGAGCATCGTTCGACCGATCCCTGTACCCACTGGCGCTGCCTGGGCCCCACTGGCGTTGCCTGGGGACGTAGGCCGCTCCCTTCGGGTTTCGAGGGGTACATCCCCAACTGGGGTGGCAAGATAATGAGACTCGAAATAAAAATTCGCCGGCCCAACGGGCCAGAGGCGTGCTAAGATCTCCGGTAACTGGTTAACAATTGTATATTGTACTAGTTCGCGCGCGCGGGGCGGCCCCTGGGGGTCCCCCGGCGAAAAGTACCCCGCCCGCCGCCTGGCAAGGTCCCGCCCGGTTCAACTCAGAGATGGTTTTCCTTCTGGGTGCGGCCTCTCAGGCCGCCCAGAGCGCGCCAAGAGTGCCCCAAGAGGCCCCCAAGATTGCTCAAGAGGCCCCCGAGACGTTCAAAGAGCGCTCCAAGGCGCCGAAGATGACCCCAAGACGGCCCAAGAGACCCCCAAGACAGCCGAAGAGGCCTTCAAGACGCCCCACGAGCCTTCCAAGAGGCCTCCGAAGAGGGCCCCAAGAGGCCAAAATCGTTGATTTTCATTGGTTTTTCCGATGTTTTTTGCGTTCTGGCTTTTTCGGCTTCCGGACGCTCCAAAACGACCCAAGAGGCGCCCAAGATCGCTCCAAGACGGCCCACGAAGCTCCCAAGACGGCCCCGAAACGGCCCAAGAGGGCCCCCAAGACGGCCCAAGTGCCGCCCAAGACGGACCAAGAGGCCCCAAGACGGGCCCAAGAGGGGCTCAAGAGGGATACAGAGAACTGAAAAATCGAGCGCTCCGCCCCAGAAGCCGCCCAGGAGGTCCCAAAGAGGCCCCAAGAGACCCCCAAGAGGCCCCCAAGACGCCCCAAGAGGCGCCCAAGAGGCCCAAAAGAGGCCCCACGAGGCCCCAAAACGGCCCTCAACAGGCCCCAAAACTCGGCTAGCCCACCACGGCGCGATCATGCAATATGGACAAGCGGAGTGAGCGAAACGATTGAATCACATTTCATTACAGTCCTCCTCTGCGCCGCCTCCGAGGCCGTCCGAATTCACCCCCCGTCTGGGCCACCCCCCTTTACGTTCACCCGAATGTCGGGCCCTGGGGCCCTCAAACATCGATCCGGGGCGACAGAGCCGAGCCGGACGGACCACGTTGGAAGCCCGGGGCTCGATTCTGAGCCGATGTTCGGGAAAGCGCGTCACTGGATTCAGGCAGGTTCGCTTGCATGGGATTTTGGCTCCGCCGCCTCACGAGGCAGTGCAAGGCCGGTACAGCGTGCAAGTCGGTTTCGGCCTGAGCGATTCCAGATCTCCTTCGGGGCCTTGCCCGACCCCCTCCGTGCAAATAAACTTGCCAGAGTCTGAAGAGAAACTAGATTCAGGAAAAAACACCTTATACGTACACTGGCGCGCAGAGCGCGCCAAGAGCGGCGCCGGAGGCGCCGCCGGAAGGGCCCAGCGCCGATCCAAGAAATCCGCGCGGACCCCCGAAAGTTTAAGCTTATAGCGTTTTTTCTTCCTCGAAGAACGGCCTCTCGACAGGAGCGCTGGCCAGAAGACGACGACGACGAGTTCTCCATCGATCTTCGCCGTTCTCTCGGTCCTCCGCCGCTCTCGGCCTGCCGTGGGCCGCTTTCGAGCCCCGGGGGCCCCAGGAAACGGATTCCGGGCGAAGAACTGCCCCTGGGGAAGACCCCAGTTTTTTTGGTGTGCTGCCGATTTTTCCTACAAAGAGAAAAAGAAAGAAAGCCCTAAACAGAAACTTTCGGAGGTCCGCCCAACATATGCTGCCATACCCCTGTGCATGCACATTGTCAGTAGTCAGTTTGGCTCAGAGTAATTGGGGACGACACGTCAACCCGACACTGACAAAACGCTGCTTCCAGGTCGCCAACGTCGCGCATCGCGCCCCGAGATGCACGACGCGGGGCCTACCTTCGCGCCCTCGCGAGGCCACCTTGGAGAAGGGCAGCTCTCCGGCCAAGGCCGCGATGCGCGGGGCGCGATTGATCTTCGACCCCCTGGGGTGACCTACGCTGCATCGACGTCCTCGCATCATTCGGCCCGATTGCCTCGATTCGATCGAGGGCAGGGAAGGGAAAGCAGCGGTCTGGGGATCATCAGCATCACCATCAGCATCATCATCGAGAGCATGGCGATCCAACGAGGCTCACGCAGCCGCAGACCCTCACAGAGCACAACGAGTACGACAGCACGAAATACGATTCCTGAGCCCCAAGCACACGACAAGCCAGGAAGGCGCGACAGCTGGCGACGCAAGACAAGGTCATGGACCAGCTGCGCGTCCAGAAGAAGCGCATACTCGAATTGCAGGCCCAACTACGCAAGTGGGAGGAGTGGCACCTCTACGTGGCGCCCCCGCTACAGTCACTTTTCCAAGCGACATCAGCACAAGAACGTAGCACTCCAGTGCATGTCCATTTGGTCATGCGTCTCCGACAGCCACCCCATTTCCGCTCAACTCGCCTTCTGCTTCTTTCGTGGTGTGCCCCCCTTGCTGGTGCAATCGTTGCAATACAGCTCACTGGCTCTACCACTCTTCTTAAACCGACGTAGGCTCTCTGGGCCGAAACTCCGATGTCCTCGCGGCCCACAGTTCTGGCACGGATACCTCGAGCAATCCCTGACGGAGCATCCATCTTCATAGCACGATTTGCATACTGCTTGGCGGCCGCCGTTCGTCGCGTTCGTGAACATGCGGTCGTCGAAGTCTGCGGCGACCTTCCTCGTGTCACACGCCGCGCACAAAGTGGGCGTCCTGCCACATCGTCGACATATTTTCTCAGCCTTCGAAAAGCTCTTCTTGTCCAGGACTTGCTTGCACTCGCCGCACTCGTGGCAGTCAAGGCACCGGCTGACATGTCGCTCCGCGCCCCGCTGCTGCGTCCGCCCGTCCCTTGGGAAACTGCTCCGGCTCAGCTCCTTCCCGCAAACTTCACAGAGCAGAGTGGCGCTACATCGTCGGCATACCTTCTCGGCATTCGAAAAGCTCTGCTTGTCCAGGAACTGCTTGCACTTGCCGCACTCGTGGCAGTCAAGGCACCGGCTGACATGCTGCCCCGCGCCCCGCTGCTGCGTCCGCCCGCCCCTTGGGAAACTGCTCCGGCTCAGCTCCTTCCCGCAAACTTCACAGAGCAGAGTGGCGCTACATCGTCGGCATTCCTTCTCGGCCTTTGAAAAGCTCTGCTTCTCCAAAACCTGCTTGCACGCAGCGCATTCGTGGCAGTCAAGGCACCGGCTGACATGCCGCTCCGCGCCTCGCTGCTCTGTCCGCCCGCCACGTGGAAAACGCGTCTTCGCCAGCGTCCTCTCGCAGACATGGCACTTCACAGGCGCGCACGCCACGCACACTTTCCCGTTGCACACGAACTTCCTGTAGTCTTGTATCCTCTCTTTGCACACGATGCACACTTCGCAGTCCCCACAGCGACGGATCGTCTGCTTGCGAACTTGGCGAGGTGCTCCGCGGAAACTGATCACAGGCTTCTCCGCGCCGCAGACTGTGCACGCAAATCGACACAGGTCTCCGCTACATCTCCAACAACAATACGTCGAACGTTCACCTGGTATCCGGAATGCATCCACCCCCGACACGTAATCCCCGCACTTGTCGCACATGTGGACCTCGAAGCTCGCAGCAAGCACGCACGCGTTGCACTCGTCCCTGGTATCCTCAAACAAAACGTCCAACTGCATCAAACCACACGTGCTGCATTGCCTTCTCTGGAACTGCGCCGCCGTACCCTGCGCTCGCTCGATGCATAGCGCGTCCGCGCAAGCCTTGCACTCGCGCCAGTGCCCTGCAGCCAGACACTTTTCTCCAACTTCCCCCCGTCGTCGACGGTCTGCTCCGAAACCGGCCACTGGGAACGACAGTCGGCAGCACCAGCACGCCCAGGACGACCCCTGCTGCTTCCTGCGCTCTCTCCCTACTTCCTGCAAGACCACTGCCCTGTCGTAATCCTCCGTTGCCTCCGCTATGCCGTACGTCACAGTTCCAGCGAGCCTCCCCGCACTCGCCGCAGCGCCTGCGCCGAATCGACTTCGCAAGAACGCCAGCATGCATCGAGGCCCCGCAGCCTCTCCTTGTCGGAATAGCTCCGGCGCAAAAGCCCGCAGCAAAAGCAACCCACTCGCCGACGTCAGCCGCGACAGGATGACGTATGCAGTCATCGCCTCAGAAGGCCCCACGACGTCCAATGCATCGCCGCAGTCCGCAAGCCCTGCCGACAACGTCGCCCCCTGCATCATGAATGCAGTGCTCGCGAAGTCCGGGATCCATGCGAAGCCCGTGCGCCGCACCTTCGCACCTGATCCTGCATTCCCGCCCACGCTTCTTCAGCGCTCAGGCTGCCCCCCCTGTGCCTCTGCCTCTCCACTCGACGTACCTCTCTCGCTCCCATGTCAGTCTTCCGTTCTTTCCCCGCCTACCCACCCGGCTTCCTCTCTCCGTCTCCTTCGCGCCCGCTGGCCCTCCTCACCCATTCTTCGCCCACGCTCGTCTCCCCGGCTCTCCCCGCAGGCGGGCATGCCGGACAGGCTTTTCGCATAGTTCCCAAGTGCGCTGAACGGGGTGCAGGGGGAAAACACCTGGGCCAAGCTTCTCATCCACAGTCCACGCCGCACCGTCCA